AGAAAATCCTAATCCATCATACATTAAGTATATTTATTCCCCCTCCCCTTACTGGCCTTTCAGCTATACGGAATTTCGCAGGGATGGCATAACACAAATGTGCATGTCTTCATACATTAAGTATAGGAAAGTGTTGGCAATGGCATACGCGCAGATTTTTCATCCTGCTTGAAGGAGCTTCTCCCACTTCCTCGTCTACCCCCTACCACCAAAAAAAGTACAAGGAGTTTATATTATGTATAAAAATTATGAGTGATAATTAACATAATTTATATAATTATTGTAAAACGAACAATATATTACTATAAATATAAATAAATTTATATATATGCTTTTTATTTATTTTTTACTTTCCTATCTATTTTTGCGTATGGGTATCTTTGAAACTATGTTAACCAAGAAATTTGATATATTGGATATTCTTATTTTTATTGAAATGTTTGAAGCAGTGAGATAAATTTTCGATTCTCTGATGCTCAAGTTTACCGTAGGAAATGTGATAAGTCTTAAAAAATGGAAAATATGCAAATGAATGAATAAAAAATATCTAGAATATAATGCTACATAAAATTATCTTTGAATATAAATTAAATTTTCAACATAGGACCCGGCAAAATATTTTACTTGCGTATTTACTTATAGGTAAGTAGCTTAGCCATCTGGTCGACTTTTCCTATTTTCTTAATTTATTTTAGCTTACATATTTCATTCATTGATGTAGATTAATTGTTATTGATTTTAACTTTATTTTTGTACCTCGAGAATATCGTTTCGCCCCCCCCTCTATTTCTTTGAGAGGGCCATCGCTCCCGCCGTCCCGCCCCCTCTCCCCTCGAAGTCTGCGCCTACGTGTTATGGCAACAAATCTAAATTAAAATACAGAATTAATTGAGGTTTAGACCAGATTTTGATAATTTCTGTGCATCTATTAAAAATAAAGAGGAATAGATTTAATTTTCAATAAGACGGGGATTTTTTCAATTTCTTTTTCTTTTTTTTACCTGTGACAGAAATAAGGTTTGCTCGAGTACCGGGAGAAAGAGGTCAGGTAATGTAAAAATTCAAAAATAAGAAAAAAAATTGGGGAATATTCCAGAGAAGATGAAATATCCTTTGAGGGCCCGGGGCTATTAAAGAGATGATTCGATTTGGGCGAGGTTAATAAATTTGTAGATATTTTTGAGGCAGAGGCAGGGGAAGATGCGAGGCGGGGGAGGGAACTAACTGGGTTTGCGGCAGCGGCACTCGCCAGTTTAAGATACAGAGAACAACAGCATGAGGCTAATGGATGCCGCTAAGGCAGTTATACAGGACTCCTTCCTCTTTAGGCCTTATTTTCAACTTAATTGCAGTCAAAGGATTCCAGCATATTGGGCTAACCGAATAGAGGTAATATATCACTACGAGAAAATTCTCCAAACGCTCAATATTATTAACGATATTAACTATAATAGTATAGTACAATTAGGATAAAGTAAAAAAAAAAAGAAAGAAAAAAATGTATTGATACTTACCATAAATTGATCATTACTACTTAGGTAATAACAGTCAAAAAGTCCTGGAGTTTCTCCTATCAGGTTGGGAGAATGAGAAAGAATAAACAATTGATTTCTCAACAACCAAGTGGGGTTAATCACAAATATTATCCTACATGAAATTACTCTACTATAAAATCTTTGTAAAAGTTATTTTAAAAATATTTTTGGTGAAATCAATTGCTGTTTTGTCTTAAACTGGAAATATGTGTTGAATAAAACTGCATTAAATGATCTATATTTTAAGTGTACATTTTTTAAATAATAGGTATAATAAAAACATATTTTGATCACAACACTCCTACTTTTATTTTTATTTTATACACCGCCGTTTCAGGTCTAAGCCCATTTTCAGGAGAAGAAACCTTTTATTTAAACCTTTAATTATAAATTATAATAAAGTAAAGTCCCAACCTACAAGTATAAATATATATTTAAAAAAATTATTATATTAAGTTGGAAAAATTGTCCTTTCGGTTTTTCAGAGTGATAAAAATCGGTGACACATTATATCCACCGTTATTTTGATGATCTGTTTCCATCTTTATACCAACTGCATAATACCATGTTAATTGAATCCCTGAGATTTATTATGAACACTAATCTAGTCGTTTTGGATGTTTTGTTCGTTTTGGAATCACTTTGACTTATGAAGTTCAGTGCAGAGACCGAAATAACCGGCAGTCGCTTGGAGCTAAGTCAGGTGAATAGGAAAGGTGGGACACAAGGTCCCATCCAAAGCTTCCGAGCGACCAGTAAGCTATGATTCATAGTGTCGTCACTCTTCCAAATCGTTCTGAGTGTGGTATAGAATTTTTTTTTTTTAGATCTTTTATCGTTAATCAACGAAAAACATGTAACAGGTAAGTTCAAGAGCACTGCAAATATTTAAACTTGAGTAATTGAGAGAAATGAGAATTGAGTAAGAAAGGATATAGCAGCTTGTTAAACGTATCTGATAAGACGTATTATCGATTACACTCCAGTTTTCCTTTTAATAATGATTTTCAATTACCTCTCCTCAAAGTTACACAACTTCAGTTACAGGTAAAGTGGAGGAACTAATTGGTTCAGAGCGATGTGCTGCTGAAGAACTGTGCCTCGAGAGACTGATCCGGACATAGACAGTTCCTCCTGAACGAGCTCACACACGGCAGGATCCTTCTGGCTCGCTGAGGAGGAACTCTATAATCCGCCGCGCCTTCCAGTCGAGCGCGAAGCCTACCTATCGGTTCCTCTTATAGACCTAATGTAGGCCCTTTGCTTCAGATTATAGCCTCTGTTTCATCCACAGCTGTGGAATTAATTAGTATCGATCAATAATAAGGAATTAATGACTCAGTCATTCATTTCGGTAACTATTTTATATTATTTTTATTTATTAAAATTAATAGATACAAATTCTAAAAAATGTATGTGTAAAATTGGATTTGTAAAATGCCACTTCCAGAAAGATGATTTTTTTGTGAAAAAGTTACTGTAACATCCTAGGCATATATCTACCTTAAATAAATATTTTTAGTTTCGCTAAATCGTTTACATATAAACAGATAAAGATAAACACACATTGTTTACTCATCACATTACATTACTCAGAAGACCTCAAAAGTAGGATTTAAAATTTTCAAGATCGTATTGCTTTACCTTATATTATTTTATGTATAGGTAGGTGGTGTGATGTGTAAGTTATTCAAAAATGGTTTATTATTATCGAAATAGACGTATCTATTAACCGATAATAATAATTTAGATAATTATTATACAAAAGCTATAATACAAAACCGGCAAAAATAAAAAAAAATATTATCATTAAAACCAGTGATTCTATTGTAATCGGAAATTTTGATATATGTTTTTTTCATTCTTTTTTCCAGTTTTTCTGTACGCTGAACAAGATACTAATATTTTTGAAAGGTAATTTGCCCAGAATATTGATTTTTTTCAAAAAGTGTCATAACTTTTTTTTTGTCATCTATATTAAAGTATCTCTCTACGAACCAATGATAAGTCCGCCAGATCGCGTTATCAAGCGGCCAACGTTCCGAATGAGACTACAACATGTTTAATGGCACTTAAATGCTAATATAAATCGTAAATACTGATGTTATGCATCTGTTGACCATATATGATACTAAACGTAAAAAAAACAAAAATATATGAAAAGTAAATTCTTATGTTTGCATTGTAATAAGCATCACTATCGTAGCGGAATTACTGTGATAGAGGCAAAGACAATTTATTATCTTCAGCTCTTTAATTGTTAAGAAAACCAAAATAACATCCTTGTGAATCTACAATTTTGATACATGTCAACTAACAAGTTTTTTTTTATACGATTCGCTTATAAATGTCATAAAAAAAATTATGACTTTGAGTCATACATTCCAGAAATCCTAAGATTAACGATTTTTTAACAATATGTAGTCGTTTGCCGTGCCTAAGAGTTTCAGCCACTCTTTTCGGTCTTCCCAGTCTCCTTCTCAAAGACCTCTGGCGGCGATAGTCCATATCCTGCAACCATCTTTTCCTCGTTTCGGCATACTTTATCGGCTATACTATAGCATCAGTTTTGGCCATTGATCCTTTGGCATTCTTTATAAATGGCAATACCACTTTAACCTTTTTGTTTCTATGCTGTACGTATTGTCTTTTCTTGCTGTACGTTTTCCCTAATCATTTTGTAGGGAACAAGTTGGATTCTGGCAATGTCACAACAGCGTCTCCAAAAGTCCATCTTCGATTAAAGTAACTTTTTCTCCTCCTTTGTGGCAGTCACCCACGTTTTGGCTGCATATAGGCTGACATTTTCCAAATAGGAATGCAAAACTTTTTTTTGTTTGGAGACTGATCTGTTTGTTCCACACAAAATCTAGAGTTAAACCATCTTACTTTTCTATTTTTTCCACGATGTATTTGGAGCTTCCATCTTCAGTTACCCATATACCTATTCAATTCTAAGGTTCTTCCTAATTCCCATTTTTCCAAGGATAAAGCTATTATATTTCCAAGAAATAGGATTCGGTGATAGCGAGGTTACTGTGATTAATTGCGATCTACTAAAGAGCTATCTTTTGAGGCAGTGTTTTGTGTTTTCGTTTTGTTCTAATTGTTCATAGCCATCTTATTGTTTTCTAGTGTTTTATCATGTTTTTTATTGTTGTTATTAGTTGTAAGTGTAAATAGTGTACATAGATTGAAGTTTGGACAGGAGAGGTTAAGTAGTATAAATTTCGTGAAGGAGTTCTTGTTTGAAAAATTTTGAGTTCCGAGTGTGATATTGAGTAGAAGATCTCTAAAAGACCTTCCCAGGGAGCACACAGAAATTAACTTTACTGAATCTGTGTAAAAAAAAATAAATTTGTAAGTATAACCTGTTAAGTGATAAGAAATATTATTACTGTTACTATTTAAGTTATTAAGTGTCTACTCTTTAAAGACTTGTCCAGGAGTAATATTATAGACAACATGGAGGGAGATGAAAGGGAAGAAGGGGACCCTCCAAGGGTTTCACGTTCAACCGCAAAAAGGGCGAGAAAGGTTTCTCTTGGTGATAACGCAGAAGCTTCTGAAGTAGGAATCTCAAATGACTTCCTTCAAAAAGCAAAGATAATTCAAGAAAACCTCCGAATATACCTTACTAAAGCTGACAAAAGTATTAAAAATAAAGACCAAAACCACATTAATGGCAAAATACAGTGGTTCATTGACGCTATTGAATCGTTGGAGGAAAGGACAAAGCAGTACAAAGATAAGAGTGAGGGCTTATCTTTACTTGTCCATAAAGCGGTTCAGGAAACACTTACCTCGCCTTCAGTACATTCAATGATAACCAGCATCGTAATAGAGAAAACAGTGCCGAAGGTTATAGAATCTCTCTCAGGAACCACTATAAAATCTAATGGTCCCCTCGCCATCCCTGGAAAAAGCAACGAATAGTCATCCGCGACTAACGTGACCCCGCCTGAGCCTTTACCAGCCGCAGTTCCTTTTACAGTCGTTAAGAGCAAAAGAAACAGGAAAAAGACTAAAAAGTCTACCGGTCCCGAAAGCCTACAAACTGAAAATGAAACGCATAAGACAGAGGCGGAATCTTTGACTGGGTCCGGTCCAAATCAGCCGAAGTCATTGGCCGAAATAGTACGAAAATTGCTTGATTTTTGTGGTTAAGAATAAACGAGAAGTCAGTCCCTACTACACTCATTAATGATGATATACGGCCATTATTATCCTCAGTATCTAGGAATGGACTAAGTAGGAACTGGGTACTCGAAGTTCACCCAATGGTGAGGTTCCAGCTGTTGGAAATGGCAGCTTTAGATGGAGGATGGTGGTCCATGACGTTTAAGGATTACCTCGACGCCCCTCGTTGCACAAAGTGCCAAGGCTATGGACACACGAAGGCTACCTGTACGGTGGATACCGTTGTATGCATATGGTGTGCAGCCAATGGACACATACTCAAGGACTGTCCAAGGAAGAAGGAACAAACTGGCCCGACTTGTATTAACTGTGTGCGGGCGAGTGCACCGCAAAGCCAAACGAAGCATAAAGCGGGCAGCCGAGAGTGCCCTGTACACTTAAGATGGTCAAATGAGGTGGCTAAGAGGACCTACTATGAATAATATCACCATTCTCCAGCTCAACATGGGCCGTCGTCGCATTGTAGCGGATGAGTTGAGGGCTCTTGTTGGACGATATGATGTTATGGCGATTCAAGAACCGAGCTGCCGTGGGAACATGGTCACGGGGTTTGGCCTCACATCGAGGGTTATAGCCCTGAGCAGTGGAGAGAGGAGGCCCAGGGCAGCTATAGTGGTAAATAACCCAAACCTCGATGTGATGGATCTGAGGCAGTTTACCACGGCGGATTGTGTCGCATGTTATATCAAATGGGGTAATATTACCTTTACGTTGGTTTCATCATATTTTCCTGACGGAGGTGATATAGACAACGACATATCCGCCATGGAGATGATCACGGCTTGCTATAGAAACATCATCATCTGCTCAGATACCAACTCCTGGAACACGGTCTGGGGATCCAATCAAACGAATAGAAGAGGCGTTAAACTCGGAGAATTCATTGGCCGAAGGCAGCTAGTGGTAATGAATGATCCCTCTGCCTTGCCAACGTTTTCTAGCGCTCGAGGGCAGAGCTGGATTGATGTAACACTGGCATCACCGGTGCTAGCGAGTCGCATCAACGATTGGATCCTCCGATCTGAGACGAGTTCCGACCACCAAGCGATAGCTTTTAAGCTGGTGGAAAATATGGAACGTTCCCACGGCATCGCTATGGGTTATTTAACCCGAAGGGCAAATTGGAAAGCCTTCCGGTCAACGCTGGAGGAAAAATTAGTAGATGAAGAATGGGATGAAGCGGAGACGGACCAGACAGATAGTCTAGATTATAGGGTCTCTAGGATCACAGATGTCATCCGTGACGCCGCTGAGGAATCCCTCCAGCAACGGAAGGTGAGAGCTCGACCTATCCCATGGTGGACGCCGGCCTTAACTGCTATGAAGAGAGAGCTCTACAAGGCCCGGCGGTCCTATCAAAAGTGTGGTAGTGAGGAGAGGCGCGCCACACTTCGCGACGAGTATAGGTCCAAGTCCAGAACATACCGAAACGAAGTGCGCTCTCGAAAAAGGAAGTCTTGGGACGAGTTCATTATTGAAGAATCGTCCAAAAACCCCTGGGGTATCCCTTACAGAGTTGCCTTGGGTAAGTTAAATCCACAACAGGTAATAGCCGCATTGAAACGCGGAGCTACTCAGGCAACCACTCTGGAGGAGACGGCAAAAACGTTCATTGCGGAAACCTACCCCAGGGATGATCCGTCCCAAGATAATGAAGAGGAGAGATACATTAGACGCACTACGGTATGCCCACCAGGTACGGACCTATGCCCACCATGGGACATATGGGATCTCCGTGCTGCCGTGGATAGGCAAAGGACTGGTCGAGCTCCTGGCTTGGATTCGATAGACACAGCAATACTAAGGAATAGTATCCCCTACATTGAACAAAGGCTGTTAGCATTGTTCAATGATTGCCTAGACAGGGGTTACTTCCCTAAAATATGGAAGATTGCTGATGTTAGACTCCTTTATAAGGGAGGAGATAAGGACAAGCAGTTAGCGAAGTCATATAGGCCTATATGTCTCCTTCCTATAATGAGTAAATTGTTGGAGACCTTGCTGATGAGGAGTCTACGACCAGTCTTCTTAAGAGCTAGCCATCCACGACAGTACGGATGCACTAAAGGTAGGGGAACCGCAGATGCTCTGCTCAGAGTGCGCCGTGACGTTGAAGAGAAGGCGGAGAAGTATGTAATGCTTCTCCTGTTTGATATATCCTCCGCCTTCGATAGCGTTTGGTGGCCGAGTGTACTCCAGCAGTTGCAAAAGTATGAAGCTCCCAGCAACCTGTACGACCTCTTAAGAAGCTATCTAGAAGACCGTAAATTAATGATAAAAGGTAACTTCTTTGCTGTAGAGGATTCTGTAGAAAGAGGATGCCCACAAGGGTCTGTACTAGGTCCAGCCTTGTGGAAACTGGTATTTGACGAGCTGCTGGGAGTACTGGAAGAGCAGCGGTTCCCCGCCACTGCTTACGTAGACGATCTCGCAGTCGTGGTGGCATCGAACAGCAGAGCCAGATTAAAGGAAGAGGCTGAACGGTGCGCCAACCTTGTAGGAGAATGGTGCGAGAGAAAGAAGATGAAGATGGCGGCTTCAAAGACTCAGTCCGTTCTTTTGAGGGGTAAGACTGACAGGGCCCACCCTATCACTCTGAATATACAGAGAGAAACGATACGTCCAAGTGAGGCGGTCACCTATCTTGGGATAAGGACTGGAAGAAAGTTTAACTTCACCCCTCACTTGGACTATCTGAGAAGTAGAGTGGCCCTGGCTCTTAATGGACTGAGTCGCATCGGGGGCGCCTTTTGGGGTCTCAGATACCCAGCCACTTTGGCTATTTATAACGGAGTTATCTTGGGTATCCTGAGATATGCGTCCCCTGCGTGGAGTCAGACTCTCTCGCACCTACAGAAGAAAAGGTTGGCGACGATCCAGCGTATGGCTCTGCTGCGTGTCACTAGGGCGTACCGGTCAGTATCTCATGAGGCGGTACAAGTCTTAGCCGGAAGTATTCCAATCGATCTTCAACTTCGTGAAGACTACTTTCGGCACGAAATGAAGAGAGATGGCTTGGTGGATCTACCGGCTAATCTCCGAGTGAGGATCAGTGAAGACCCAAGCAGATGGAAGAGGATTCTCCGGGAATGCACATTAGAAGAATGGAACCGGCGTTGGATGACAACGCCAAAAGGATCAACCCTAACGAAATACTTCCCCACCGTCAGTTCAAGAATGGAAACTACATGGCTCCTCCCGGACTATTGGGTCTCGCAATTCCTCACGGGGCATGGGGGATTCCGAGCAAAGCTTGTTCAACATGGTAAGAACATTGATCCCCTATGCCCAAGTTGTAGGGTACCGGAGACCGCCGAGCACGTCTTATTAGCCTGTACCGCCTATGAGGCATTGAGGGCTAAGTTGCTGAGGGAGACTGGGCTCTATGTCTTATCAGAGCGCGATCTACCTCAGCTAGTGACCAGAGAGAACTACCCGCACTACAAGGCCTTTGTGTACGGGTGGAAAGACATCATTGGCCCAGCCCACTTCTATTTGGGTAGAAGAGAAGAAGCTCCACCACAGAGGATGGAAGAGCCAAGCTAAACAGAAAATCTTATTGTATCGATTGCAGTATTGGCTAGTTATGCACACACGTGTAGCTATCCAATACTGCAAACACTCGTATTGCCAAACTGGCTTCCAAGAAATAGCATGTACTGCTATATTTTTCTGATTCACCTCTAGACTCCATGCAGTATAAATATATGTATATGCTCCTCTATCCCCAAACTTACTCTGCTAATCTCCTATTGTCTGAAACAGTGGTTGAAGTCTTCTTCTGTCAGCTCCTTCAGGACGCGTGCCGTTTTATCTCCAGGAGCATGTGGCATGTTCTTGGCATCTTCATTATTATTAGTTACTACCACCAAGTCGTCAGCAAATTGTAAGGTATAAAAACATTTATCACATTTGTTATCTTAACATTAGAATATATGGGCCGGGCCTCGTTCACTGTTATTCTGTTTTAATATTGATACTTGTTCCGATATATAAAATTGAAATAAACTTTTCATTTAATTTTAGCATATTGTAAATTTGATAGCAAGTATGGTCAAAAGAATCAAAAGTTATTTCCGTTTCCATAGGAAATCGAACGTACAGAGCCATAAACCGTTTTAAGCCACTTTTGGGAATATGCCTACATTGCAATGCGAGCTCTAGTGGTCTAACAGTTGATATAACAGTTGTACAGAGAACAAGTTTATGGATGTAAATTTGTAGAAAACTTCTTCATGATCTAATAAAAAAAAAACGACAACATAATGACAGCTTTTAGCATAGGTAAAAACCAAGAAAAGAGTCATCTATTTGATATTTTTTATAAAAAAAAAAAGAACAAGATTCCTTGCAAAATATCTGCCTGAAAACCTCAGATTCATGTTCAGCGACCCTAAAATATTGAATGTACCATAATTTGGACGACTGCCAAAGCCTTCCTTTTTTTCTCCCATGGCCTAGGCTGTATTATGTTTTTTTTTAATGGTTTGGTGTTGTGATTCTAAAACATATAATTTTCATCAATCGAAATGTGCTTCAAATATCATTTGAGGTGACCAGCGATGAACCGACTCATTTGAACCGACCGAAAAAAAAACAGTCGGGCCTATACTATACGGGAAATTATGTAGTATAGGGTGGGCGAATTATGAAATTAATAATCAGTAGTATTGCCTAAATGCAAGACCATGACTCGTCTTGCTCTTGCGCGCTCGGTCTTGACCCTGGTCTTGCAG